ACTACCCTAGCCGGGTAATGAAACATTTGCAAGAAAAGAACCAAGCTCAGAGAACCCCAAGGACTCCACAGTTCAACCCTAAGCTACACAGATTCACCTCTATTGGTAACTCACTACTGGCAGCAGCAGGGACATCTGAGAAAGAGCCTCACCTGCTGACCCAAGGAATCAGGAAGGTTCATAGTGGGAGAGGGGGGCCCTCAGATAGTCACGCCCTAAATCATCTTGGATTCTGAAGATTAACACAAGCATCTCAAAGTGTACCTCACAAGCAATTAATAGCCAGCACAGATCAGTGCAGGCAGCCATCAGCTCTGTGCCTTGTACTGCATTTTGCACCAGTTGCAATTTCTAGACATTTTTCAAGGATAGCCCAATGTAAAATACATTGCAGTAATCAAGGTGGGTTGCAACCAAGGCATGGATATCTGTTGCTGAGTCTGACTGGCTGAAGAAGGGTCACAGTTGGCACTCTGCGCAAATGCATCCCTTGCCATAACCGGTGCATTTCCATCCAGAGATAGTGGATGCTGAAGGAATACTCCAAAACTGATCTTGCTCTTTCTGGGACACCCCCAACTCAAACAGGTATCTAATATTTGGTTATTATCCCCTATATTTTAGATATCTAGACACAGAAAAAAACCTCAGTATGAATCATAAAGACCTTGGTTTAAATCTTGTCTCTGCTGTGGTTTCACTAGAAAGCTAAGATACTCATGACTGAATGGTACTTACCCTAAGTATGTGCTACTGAAGCAAATGAATTATTTCTCTCCTGAATACTCTTGTCCCCACTTCCCTTTCTCAGTAATTTCATTTATATTTCATTTTTTATTATAAGTTCCTCAGGGCAAGTCCAAGACATGCCAATTTATACTCTTAAGAGTTCTGTGCACACAAAAGTAACTTTCTTTTTCATTTACATCCTGATATTGCTTTCAAAATAAACAATTTAACCAGATTTTCAGTTCTTCTTTGCAAAGAGATACCAAATTAAGATGCTACAGATAAAAGCCTGCTCCCTTATGTTTTAGAAAAATGTTACTTAAGAAGTTGTTATTGTATTATATAAACAAGCCTAGGTTGTTTCAGAGCACTAGACTTTTATTTGAAACAAAATCTCAGAGTTTTTTGTATTGTCATTCAGTTGCTTCCATTTCTTCATGACTCAATGGACGTGATTTCACCAGAATTGCCTATTAGCAACTTTTTTTTAATTTTTGTAAGCTTATGCTTGTGTCATCAATGGTAGAATCTAGAAACCTTGCTTGTCAGACTCTCTTTCAATTGCCTTCTATTTTCCCCAGATCAGGATCTTCTCTTGCTTTTCCAATGTGTATCCAAAGTATCTAAGCTTTAGCTTCATTTTATAGTGTTTCCTGGGAGAAAGCTGGTTTAATGTCACTAGTACTGAATGATATGTTGTTCTTGCAGCCCAAGATATTCTCAACAATTTTCTCAAGTGCCATCTCAAGTGCCATGGCATAATTTTTTCATCATCCAACTTTCAGTTTCATGCTACAACTGGGAGAACCATAGCCTTGTCAATATGTATCTTTGTTGGTGGTGTGATATCTCTGCACTTTAATATTTTGTCTAGACTTGCCATAGCCTTTTCCTCAAATAACAGACATTTCTTTATTACCTGGCTACAGTCACCATCCTTGTGAATTTTTGAGCCTCAAAAGATAAAAGTCTGTTACTACTTCAACTACTTGTCCTATTTGCATTGGGTTGGCACTGCCTATTGACATTGTCTTGGGGTTTGTTTTGGTTTTTTATTTGTTTGTTTGTTTTATGTTGAGCAACAGACTCTTTTGCTGTCTTTCCTTTTACCTTCCAGAAGAGACTTTTTAAGTCTTTGTGGAAGTGGCATCAGCATATCTGATTTTTCCCAGCAATTTTAATTCCCATTTCTTCTACTTCTCATCTAGTATGTCTCATGATATATATTGCATATAAATTAAATATATGTATTAGGCTCATTACATGTATTAAGTTCACTGCAAAATGGCCTCTACATCTTGTTGCCCTCCTAAACCTTTGAAGGTTTTTAAAATTCTAGCCAGGTCTTTACAAAAAGTGGAAGCTAAACAAAAGGTCATTCCTGAATAGCACCCAGAGATGGCCTAACTTCCCCTCTCCTCCTCCTCTCTGCTTTCTCTTCTCTTCCTCACAGTGCTCTTCAGTAGGCTAGGAAAAAGATCTGGCCTTGAAGTATAGAGTTACATGCTGTAAATTTGTTAAGAATGCTCTTTGGCCAGTCAAGTCACAGGAATATCTTTGAATGAAATTTCCCTGGGCCACACTGGAGCCTTTTTCCCACCCTCAGCCCTCCTCCTGCTGGACGGCTCCACTGAGCCGTAGCCATGGCAACTCAGAGCCCCGCTAAACAGGCAAGGCTTTGGGAGCAGCCTGTTCTTGCGGTTAGCCGGAGTGATTGTTGGTTGGATTCCCTGGTATGCAGCTTCCAGAGGCCAAAAGCCCGTTCTTGCTCCCAAGGCGAAGGCTTTCCTTGCACACAGCTGGCTGGCTGGAAGAAGCAGAGGGGGAGGAGGGGAAAGTGGGAGGAGAGGTCATATTGCTGCTGAGAAGAGTTTCTCCAACTCCAGCAGAGGCGTTACCCCTCCTTTTCCCTTCTTCGCATCTAGTTCTCTTTGAGGGATGTGACGCTCCGAAAGCCCCTGCAGGAAGCACGTTTCTGTTCCTAAAGACAGGCTGAGGCCTAACAGGGCTCTCCTAGTCTGGATGACTTCAGCTGAACTTTGGCAGAGCCGTAGATCCCACTGAGGATTGGAGGCTTAAGCTGCTGTGCTCTTGTTTGCTCTTGGCTTCAAATGCAGCTCTGAGGCCTCTTGCCAGGGTCACAAGTACTTTTTCTCATGAGCAGCTCGAGCGATCGTAGCTTGGGCCATAAGAAAGCAGGAAAAAACGTATCTTGCTCAGCAATATTAATTTGGAAAGATGATCTGCACTTCGGAAAGCTGGAAGGAACAAGCTAGAAGAAAGTCTTCTCTTTTTCCTGAGAATTAACAAAGCTTAATTAGTGCCTCCTTTCTTCAGTATCTATTGTCTGAGAAATGGGCTGCCATTCTCACAAACCTTTTTGGCTTGGATGGACCTAGGAGAAATGTCTTCCCAGGAAGGTGAGTTTCGGGAATAGGTACTCCTATCCTGCTTCCTCCCCCTGCCCCCCGCTCCTTGAAGGAACTCCAGAAAGCTGGGTGAGTGTATCTATTGGTCTCAGGACGGTAACGTTGTTGCTCTTCCACTAAAACCTTTCATCTGTTGCTCTTTTCTTGCTAAGTGCATGGAAAAGTTTTATCCTAGTTAAAATTTGGGTAAGGATGGACAGAGAGTGTCCCAACAATGTATAAATCAAGGATTTGAGCTCAGTGAGCTCCCTAATCAAAAGGTGTTGAGTGTTAAACCAATAAATTTGCAGTGCTCTATGGAAAAGGGATCTTTCTAGTGCTAGGACAGTTGACTTCTTATTTAATTTGAGGTTAGGCAAATGTCCTCTGGAACTTCCTTGGAAGGCAGCCTGGCTCCAGAGGCAGAGTTGCTGAAATTATTACTGGGCCAAGTCCAATATTTACAGGCCCTTATTTGTAATCATTAAGTAGAATTCCTATAAGATGGCCTTTTCTCTGCACTGCTTCCTCAGCTTTACTTCCACACTTTCACATATTGCTTTTGGAATATGCTTGAGGACACACTTTCTTTGCCCTTCTTCCAATAACACCCCTTGTTGAGCTGGTAGATATGTCTACCAAGGCATCTCAAATGTCTTCCTTCCAAGCCACTCTACCTGTGAACGAATCTGTTTAATTCCAAATTACCTTATAATACTGTGGCCCAAGGCATTGTACCAATGGCCAGAAGCAAGCTTTTATAATGTAGTAACTAAAATTACATACTTGTTTCAGTAACTATAGATATATACTTGGAATAATGCCTGCATGGTTATGGAGTGTGGGAGCTGAATAAGGGAAGAGTTTAGGGCCCTGCAAACCTCTTGTTTTTCCAAACGATTAGCAGAACCAGACTAGGTAAAATATTAGTATGCAAGATAAAAATGCAACATTGGTAATTTTTAATTTGTATAAACTGTACAGATTGTAAAGTTCATATTTTCTTGGCAAAAAAATGGATTAGGTTAATGTAGTTATTTAATTATTTTAGCATGCAATAGATGCATTCTTGACAGCAGGAACGAGAGAGAGCTAGTGCACCACACAGTTTTCCCCTTCTCATCTTTTAAGGAAACTAGAATAGAGCATACACAATTAATGAAATTTGTAAATGTTGCTTAAAACTGCAGAAGGTCAGATTATATTGTGCAGAACTTTGCATATTTTGAGAAGTACTAATATTTTTAGTATACAGCTCTGAACAAAGGTCTTTCCCCAAACAGAAGGTGTCAGCCCATTCTAGCAGATATTAACTTTGGAAAATGTTCCCAAGCCAAGCAAGCAGGCTTTTGCTCAAACAGTTTTTGTTTTTCCCCAAAAGGTTTGTTACCAGCTGGACACAAGATCATGGAGGGAAATGTCTCTACTGAAAAAAGAAAGGGCTGCATAAAGCAGTGTGTTAAAAGTACTTCTAGACCCAAACAGCCTGACAAGCGCCCTGAACATGTAAATAATTTTTCTCTCAGTGGGCCAACCTGGATTCCAGTGGGACAGAAAGGGTCTATAAGTAAGTCCACTTCTGTTTTGGAGTCCAAGGTTAAAGCTCTGAAAGAGAGAAGGAACCTCATAAACAGGCAACCTGAAGCAACACCTCAGGAAGAGGCATCTCTGAAGAAGGCCAAAGCCTGCAAAGGAGAGCCACCAACAGAGCCTGCTCTTCAGAATGCAGTAGTGGAGCCACAAGCTCAGATCCGCACTTACTTGACAGATGTGCTGCTGGACAGCACTGACTATCCACATCAGATGCAGGAGGAATCTCAGGGAACAATCCTTCCACATCCATACATCAATGATTCTGAAACACAATCTATGGGAACAGAAGACTCCACAGGGATGAGCTCACCAAAAGAATTCAGGAGGCTCCCAGAAAGAAATATACCAGATAAAAAGAGTTCTTTAGGAAGCACTACAAAAAAAGCATCCTTAAGTGCCATCTGTGGAACTGGCTCTTTAAAGGATATTTCCTTTATCCCAAAATCTTTTGAAGAAGCAAATGGTAGAGAAGACCCTCTCATTCGGCCGAAGGAGTTAGAAAGCAATTCCTCTATGAAAGAAAATGACACCTCTGAGATGGCATCAGCTGGGAGGATTTGGAGAACGGATAGCTGGGACAGTCTTGGCAGCGGCAGTGGCAATTTCAGTACTTTGTCTTTAGCAGAGAGAGTGGAAAGAAACCGGTCTATGTTGCAGGAGATGCTGAGCACATCACAACTGAATAGCCATTACTCACAGGAACTGCATACTCTGAATAGTTACAGGAAAGAAATCCCGGACCTTGGAAATGATGGGTCTAAAAATGGTATGTTTATGTGATGAAAATGGGGTAGTAAAAATTAAAATATCTGTGTAACTTGGGTAGGTGATAAAATGTCTCAGAAAGTATTCTGACAGCAGAGAATCTATAACATAACCAAATCTTTTCCCCGCCCCTCTCCATTTGATCTTTGCAGCTCCTTCTCCAAACTTTTTGCACATTTAATCGCTTAGGATATCCCAGGCTCCAGTTTTGATCTAAACTTTGTTTTTTTAACCCCTTTCCCTAGATCTCCAAGAGAAGGAGAAGTAAAATCTGATGATAAAACCAAAATCAAGGGGGGGGGCAGGCCATTTTGCCTTGGATTTGAGTTTTTCTCATGTGTTTCACTCTTCATTCCTTACATCCATTAATAATAGTCATAGATTTTCTATGGGACTTTAGCAAAGAAGGCAATGTGACACTAATTATATTTTCGTTGTGGTCCTGATCGGTCCCACTCCAATCCCTGCGTTAAAAAAAAAGCAAAAACACCAGACCAAATCAAAACAAAAAAACCCTGATATGATTGGTTTTAAACTCAGTGGGTAGGGAAAGGAAGGGGCCATACATACACATTATGAACTTGAATCCTGACATTTTTCTGCAACTCTCTGTTACACATGTTATCTAGGGAATACTTGGAAATATTGACAATTAGTTAAAATCCTCCTTTCTAACGGGCATGGCAGTACATATATATGTAAATGAGTAAGAGTTTTCAGCATCCTCCAATAGGATTATGAGATAAGTGTATCTGTGAAGTTATCAGGGAGATCATTTGAGTGAAACATTTAGATCTGATGTTGGAAGCAAGTGAGCAGATGTGTGAACTGCTGTTTGGATTTTGATTTATTGGCATGACTTCCAATTCACACAAAATGTTCTATCTAATTTGATACTTGCACAACACTTCAGTTGATACCATTTAAGACTGTGCATGCTTGGAAAATGATTCAAAAGAACTGCTTCAGCCCATGTCCAACCCTGAGAACAGCACTTCTCTCCTATTCATTCAAACAGCCCAATGTTTTCCAGGTTCTTATGCAAGCCTTAAAGAAGGCACACAGTAGCCTGAAAAAAGTTGGGCTGCTTTAAATATTACAAGGGGAATCCTGCAAGGTCTGAAGCACTTCTGAATAATTTTCGAAGTATCAACAGCTCTAATAACTATTTCCATGGAAATGTTGGTAGTCCAAAGACACATCTGTTCTCATTTCATGGTCAGGCCATTTTCTGTCATTCATTCTGTCATTCATTTTATTAAAAGGCATCACTGTGCACCTGATGAAGCGAAGTGCAGCTTATGAAAATTCATGTTTTTTAATAAAACTTGTTAGAAAAGGTGCTACCAGGCTCTTATTTTTTTGCAATAATAAGCAGTTTTAAAAGTTTGGGATAAATACAGGAAAAGAATTAGTACAGACTTATTTCTTGTCTCATTGTTGAATATTTATTTTCATGAAGGAGAAAGCACAAAGAAATTCACTCAGTGGAGAGGCATCAAATCATATAGCCTGTAAGATCTGATTATTAATAAGACAAAGATAAAATCGTTTGAGACCCACTCTTCAGAATGGTCAGAACCACCAAACCAGTGGTTTGATATCTTCAAATAAGCAGGAATTGCAAAAATAGGGGGCAACGCTTAGAGATTTGCCTGAATTGAAAACTTCATAACACAAAATTTGGAGCATGTCTGGGCCTTATTTATAAATTGTTGGTGAAATATGGCTCAGAAATTGTATAAGTTAAAGAATGTATGATTAAATGGAAGCAGAATTTAAATATATTGATGTGCCACAATAGGAATGTCAGTGGAAGAAGATTAAATTTTCACACAATATTATACTGAGGGAAGAAAGACTGGTATAAGATGTTTTACTGTTGATATAATACTCCAGCAGTTTGCTGAAATTGACATTTCATTCTCTAAAAATTTTTGAAAATGTCATGATTGGGTTGGATCATTTTTCAGATTTGCTAGCAATATTGTAAAGTTCAACAATTTTGGGAAAATTATAACAGAATGAAACACTTTTTAAAAGCTGAATTTCAAACCTTCTATTTTTCTATTACATATTACTAAATCTCACATTCCCACAGAGTATACTAAATTAGCTCTGTATATGGTAACTGCTACAAAGGTACTCTATATTTACTATTGGAAAGTATGCTCAATTCCTACTGCAGAAGAATGGCTAATTAGGTTGTGGGAGCATGCCTCAATATTTAAAATAACTTTGTATTTCAGAAGTAAATCTGATACAGATTTTAACTCAACTTGGAAACAATTTTGGGGTTTTAACTCTATATACCAGTTTGTACCACATATGACATTTGAGTTTCTCTTTACCTTAAAATCTGTTTCTCAGACAGAACTTACTCTCTCATTTTTTATTTATACTGTTTGACTATAGCTGTTGATATTCATATATTACTTGATTTTAACAATGATCTGTAGTTTTTAAAATTATATAGTATATTCAGTTACTTTAATTAATGAAATATGGAACATGGAACCTAATTCTAGGAGGCTAACACATTCCCTGTTTATCTACTTTGTGCTTTATTTTCCCCCCTTCCACCTTATCTTAAAAATTCATAATATAAATTAATGATTTAAATAATTATTGTTGGTGGCAAATACCTCCTTTGTAGGCAAAGTATTGAGTGGTGGATGACCAAAAAGATCACTAGGTCCACATTCAGATGAAAAAGTGTATAAAATATGTTGGCACTGAAGAACACTGAAACAAAGAGTATCTTTTTAATGTCCTGCTATGTTTCTTGTGAATAAGGTTAACAAAATTAATTATATATTTCTTTTGTCACATGATTACAGAGATTCTGCTGAATGATGGAGACTGGGATTCTAGTGTCTCCTTACAGGATTCTAAAGGCTACCGGTAAGATTCCAGAGCTACCAAGCTAAGGTTTGATTGATTGATGGATTGATTGATTATGTGCCATCCAGTCGTTTTCAACCCCTAATGACCACATAGATTTTCTCTATGATCTGTACGTAACCTGGTCTTTCAGGTCTTCCAATAGCGTACCCATCAGCACTGTAATTGAGTCTATCCGCCTTGCTGCTGGTTGCCCTCTTCATTTTTTTTTTCCTTCCACCTTTCCCAGCATTAGAACTTTCTCCAGTCTTTGCATATGTCCAAAGTAGGATAATTTGAGCCTGGTCATTTGTGCCTCGAGTGACAACTCTGGGTTGATTTGTTCAATGATCCATTTGTTTGTTTTCTTGGCTGTCATATTCTCAGGAGTCTTTTCCAATACCAAAGTTCAAAAGCATTAATAATCTTCCTATCCTGCTTCTTCAAAGTCCAACATTTGACTAAGCTAAGGAGCTATCGGTTTTTCAGTTCTCTGTTAGGGCAAGAGGTGTTTTTCTAAATGACAATAGGCATTATTACCAACATATGTTACAACTTTCTCTGCTTGGCATTTGCCCAGAATATACATTTATCATACTAATGTGCAGAAAAAATATCTAGCTTTTTTCAAGCCATACTTAGGTAGTTCTGTAAACAGAGAAAGATTATGGAGTCCTTGGGCTTCTCTGAGCTTGGTTCTTTTCTTGCAAACAGTTCATTACCTGGCAAGGTAACATCTTCAGTGCTAAAATGGGATGGGGTTTGCTGTCTATTTATGTGCTGTGGCCTGCCTTGCCAGTGCTGGTAAGGGTGGGGGTTTTGTTTTGCTCCTCTGGTAGTTCTTGGACTGGCATATGTTTTTTATGTGCTGTGGCCTGCCTTGCCAGTGCTGGTAAGGGTGGGGGTTTTGTTTTGCTCCTCTGGTAGTTCTTGGACTGGCATATGTTTCCTGCTTGACTGTGTGCCTGGTGGTAACCTTTGCTTATCTGGGTGATGATTGCTGGTGATGATTGCTGGTGAGGTGATCTTCTGATTTTTTGTCTCTTTTGAATAGTATGTAGATGTTTGAATAGTATGTAGATGTAGAAAGATTGTTGATCCAAAGGGTATAATTTACTTGTTTTCTAATCTTTCAGTCGCCCTTGTTGCTTTCTTTGGTTTACCTAATCCTTGGAGACAATCAGAACTCTGTATTTTAATTGAGAGCTGAAAGGCTCTGCCCCTGTGATTCTGGAGAGGTGGAAACCAAAAAACATGTCCTTCTTCATTGATCCTTTCACAGTGAACCAGATTTATCCTCCCTCTGATCAGCAGATATCCTGGTCACTCAGACTCAGCCTATATCCAGATGCTGCTTACAGATGAACAGCTTTTTATTATAGCACATGTGGCTAGATTTTGTGCAGCAGCATGTAAGGTCTGCTGGACCCTGATGGGCCAAGTTCCTGCTACACAGATGTATTTTATGTAGTCTTAGATATTATCATTTTGGGGGGTAATTTTACATATAACATTTATGTAAATTTTAGATACATCATATTTTTGTAAATTTAGATATTACCACATTTTATATACTGTAATTTTAGATACTACCTTATAACCTAGACATAGATTACTCCTTTTGGACTTCACTCACAGATTCTAGTAGGTTGTTTTATAGATGTATTTTACTTTTGTCTTAAATTTTATTTACTGTCTCTTATGATAGATTTATAAGTACTCACAGAGCACTCATGGACACATTGCTTGTACTGGTCTAAGACTGTAATGAATTGACTGAACTGAACTAATTGAGAGCTAAATAATCAAAAATGTTTGCAAAGTAGCACTATAGAACGGCAGCAGGCAAAGTTTTGAGACTGGAAAGCATGCACAGAATGTTGAGGCCGTATTGTGGATATGCTTTCAGAACAGCGTCCACATATGCATGGCAGGCACAAAATACCAGCATCACTGTGAACTACTAAAGTTGCCTTTTCATGAATGGCATCTAGCTCCTTAGGATGTCCTGTGCCATCCCAGATTATTTCAGTCTTTTTATTCTGGACAGGTAGGATCACTTCCAAACTAAGCACTGAATTGCAGCCATCCACTGATTATGCATTTTAGCAATGTTTAAGGAACCTAGGTAGAGCCCATAGCCTTTCTGTAAATGAAGATGATGTTAGGGGTTGATATTTTGCTTTGTAACATACCAGTTTCCCATTTAATGTTTTTAAACTAAGAAACAACAACAAAAATCAGGATAAGGAGGGAGTTTTTAGGAGCACTTCAGGTGTGTATAGGCACATTTTCTGAATTTGGCAAATAAAGTTGGAAGACGAGAACATTGGGGTAGATTTGTGGATGAGTTTAATCTACTATCTCAAGATGATACTTCTGTAGCTGACTTTCATAGCAAATTTGTGAACATGATAAGAGGTTTGTGTGGAATATAAACAATTTCAAAGGGGTAGTATTCTGAAAAATGGGACATGCAATGTCACAAATACTTAGCATCCATTTCTAGGAAAAGTGTATAGAATATTTGAACTGAAATAATTTTTCTAATATATCATCATATGTCAAATCAAACGCAGCTCCAAAGTGATATAATTCATACATATCTTGCTGTCTATCCATGCATCCATCCATCCATCTTGAATTTATTAATATGTTGCTTTAAATATTTTCCATATCTTGGATTTTTATACTTGAAGAACTGAGCAAACTTTCCAACAAAATATATACATATATATCTTCTCCCTTTTAAATCTAGATGTTTTTAGTTGATTAGACTAAGCAATACTTCGACTTTGAACATTTTATTTAAGACTTTACAAAGCACTTTAAATGCAGTTTTAGTAACAACCTTATATGATAATTCAGCAATAACAACAAAATTGTATTATGGTCATAGACCAGACTCAGTAATAGTACAGATAAAGAGAAACATTAGTATCCAATTGTACCCAAATCATATCAACATATCTAGATTATCAACATATCCAGATTAGCTATCCTGTTTTATAATGGTGAGCTTCTGATGGCATATCCTCATCAATAGGTAGTAGAATTTGGTAACATGATAGATAACTTTGGGATTTTGTCTCATATAAAATAACCTATATAAAATGTCTTAGTTTGATTGGACAATTTTTTAAAAAGCCACTGAAGTAGTCTTTCTCTTGGATTAGAATAAAATATGCAGCATAGAAAAACATGCTCCTGAATTCAATTTTGCTTGAGCCAAACGGGCATAACCTCTGTAAAAATGGAATTTTTCTGAATCTACACTCCAGGATTGCTGAGTGGAAAGCATTAAAGAGCTTGCAAGAAGGCCCATCAAAAGTAAGCTCAGCAGCACTGATCCATTGCTTAATTATTTCTTTGGCCTTATCCAGCCCAGATATTAGGAAAAACTCAGGTGACAAGCCCAAAAGAACACAGTTTACTTATAATATTCACCAATCATTTAGGTCTATAATTGTCCCTTGTGTTTTCTGAAATCAGCTCTGTAGGAGCCTCTCTAGCAAACAATGTGATCTTGTTGGAGCCAGGAGTCATGCTTTCTTTGTGGCAACATCTGTCCTCTCTGAGATTTGGATGGCCCTAACCCTGTTAGCCTTTTGTAAGGCCCTGAAAACATGGCTGTTTCCCCAGGTTTTTGGGCCAGGAGGTTAGGCAAGCTCTGCTGATGATGTAGTTTTTTATGATTGGGATGTATTGTTTACCTTGGGTGTCATGAGTCATTGTTTGTAGCTGTTGTTTTTAATCTTCGTTCACCGCCCACAGTCACTGTTGTGAGATGGGTGGCCATATAAATTATTTAAATAAATAAACAGCTAAGCTAGATGAATAGAATTGCTTCCCAAATTCTGGCCTCTATTCTAAGCAGTTCTATCTCCAGTTTCAGGGCTGCATTCTGAACACAACCTGGGGTCAGAAAAACGGTTCTTAGAAAGCCAGGTTGCACATTTTCATGGGAAGTGAAACTGGAACCAAGTCCCACTTGAGCCCCATATACTTATATATCCAGAACTTCCGGCATAAATACCGTGCATATAATTTGCTAATAATATTTAGAAGATATAAGGGCCTATAATTTGTCTGCTTGCTTTTATCTCCATTTTTGAAAGTAGGGACAACTATTGCAACATCCCAATCTTCTGGGGTCATGCGCTCTATTGTCAATATAGATTCATACAGATGCAAGAACTAGGGGCCCACCAGTCAATAGTAATCTTAATTGATTTTCCTGGGACATAATTGTTATTAGAAACTTTCCCCTACTTTAGCTAATTAATCAACTGCTTTGCTTTAGTGAAGCTGTAGGCCAACACTGAAGAACAAATAATAATACATATAAGATAGGGATATCTGCAGATAAAGAACATCATCTTCATCTGAAAAGCATCTGCACAGCCACTGTGAAAATTCTTCTAGCCATCTGGTGGATAGAATTGCTTGGATCTGGTCTCAGTTGGACTTTGACTGTGCACACCCTTTTGAGGTAACAGAGGCACTGTCTAGCCAGGTTATTTAGGAAGAGATTGAGTCTGTAAGTCTCAAGAAAACAGATAGGGTCCTTGAGGCTGTGAGGATGGCCACCTATTTATTAGCTCCATGTCCCTCCTAGTTGGTTAAGGCTTCTTGGGAAACATGTGGTTGTTTGGTTCCAAGTGGTGGTAAATTCAGTCTTAAGTGAGGGGATCAGTCCACTGGCTCTTAAAGAGGCAATGGTCCCTTTGGTGGGAAGGTTGCAGAGAATGGAATTGGGCTGCAACTTCAGAGGACCCTGGGGAAACAGATTTATCTAGACCCCTTTCAGTTGGGCTTCAGGCCTGGATATAGTATTGAGGTGGCTTTGATCACACAGGTATATAATCTTTGGCAAGTTTGAGATGGGGTAGTGCATCCACTCTGCCCCTTCTTTATCTCTTGGCAGCTTTCAATAACTATTGATCATGTTTCCTTTTGTACCAGTTAAGGAATTGCAAAGGGGGAGGCACAATTGTTGAAGTGATTCTTCTCCTTCTTCA